ATAAATGGCATCTATTTGTGCTGTACATGTCTCTGGCAGTTAAAAAGGTACTTTGATCTTCACAGCAGATAACAGTTTACTTTTGACAGATTTAAACAGACTTAAAACCTTTCTGATGAGGGCAGCCCTCACTTATACTTCCTGTCAAGACTGACAGTCAAGAGGACAAGCTAAAAGTGCACCTTAACAGTTAGCAAACGTGGATTTGGGGGAATTAATTTATGTTTGTTGGGGTTCTTTTGTTAAACTATTATTTTAATATTTATCCTGAAGTAATGCTAGAGAGTTTTGTCGCCTGTATTCTCAACTAGTAGATGCTTACAAAAGTCAAAGCTGACTTTAGTGACTTTGCTCCATGTTCAGTCTATAGCATTTTATCTTCACTGAACTTCTTTTCTACAGGGATGTAGCTTGTATGTGTGTGTTAGTCCAGGGTAAAAGGCACCTGTTTTGAAATTTATTTTTAGCAGTGAAGAAAAAGCATGGGGAACCCACTCTGTGCCCTCAAAATTATGCAGCTGGGACACATATGCTTTGTCTATGCGGGATTATTTTCTGTGCTGTAACTGAAGGAATCAAAGGGTACACAGATACTGCCTTTAAATGTTCATATCTCTGATGTTAACATTTGTTTAAAAAAGGTTAATTGCAGGCAATTATGTGCTAAAGGAGCTACATCACAAGAAAAGTCAATAGTACTAGGAAACTGTAACTTTGAATTAATGATAGAACTGAGCAGTTGTGCCAGAGCATTTTATTTAAGGAGGCAGCACATTTTTCTTATTATAAACTGCTAAAATGTGATGGTTTTGCATGAGTTTTTGGTTTTTTTTTCTTTTTCATAACTCTTAAAAGGGCATATTTAACCCTTCACACTGAATTCTAAAAGTGAGTGAATAAAGAAGCAAGTATTCCGATGTTTTAAATTTAACACACTGTTTGTTAGTGTTGAATATTTAAAAATAATACTACTTCTTGAATTAAACTATGTCTATTAGATGGATCACTTGAAGGCAAAAGGCACAGTTGTGCTTACTTAGCATGAGAGCCTCAAGAGTTTAAATAGCTTGTGTTTATTTTTGTAATCTGTGTCTATGATAAGAATCCATTACTGCTTTATGGTACTGGTGACTAAAAATTTATTGGTGTATCTTGAAACTGTGTCAAACTTCTGCAGGAATCTGTCCTTTTTTTCCCCCTACTTTCCAGCCCAGCATCCTGGGAGTTCATAAAACTGTTCAGTTAACGTTCAGCCTTTATCCAGTTTGTATAAATCCTCTAGCTGGGATCTGTCTCAAAACTGGTGAGAAATAGTGCTGTTTTTTCTTGTAGGCTACCTAAACCACTAAAGATTTCACATTGAAATTATGGGGTTTTTTTAAAAAAAGGTTGCATAGACGAAAGATAAGCGGTTGCTATCGAAGTGCCTTCTGGTCCTTATCTGAAAGTAATCCTGGCCCTCCTGACTCTGTACTCTTTCAGACAGTTGCAGTATGATTCTAAAATACCCTCATGAGAAAAAAGAAAAAAGAAAAAAACTCAACCAAACAACAGCAAAAAGCAACAACCTAAATCCAAACAAAATAAACCCCTTGACACCCAAAAAAAAAGGAAAGAGAATGAGAAGAGAAAGGGAAACTCCAGTTGACCCAAAACCTCTGAAGATTTTTTGTTGCCCAGTTCCTGGTGTTATGCTGCTTGACAGCCCTAGAAAAGACTTGGTAGACTAGGCTGATCTTACAAGAATTTATACTTTCAGTCCCATTAGGATTAAGGAGTTGGCTCACTCCTGATAAATGCCAATATAAAGCAGCAGAGAATCAAGCCAGCTGAGCTGGTCATGACCTTATATGCATAGTGATAATTAATAGGTAATGAGACTGGTATAGCATGGCTCTGAAATGCGGTAGAATACATCATCTAGACTGTTTAGAAATTAAAATTTTAAATCACACTTTAAGCAGGAATTAAAGACATCTTTTGCCATCATGGGCAAAAAAGTTAGTCCTTCGCTAAAGAATGTGTGCCATATGTGTCACTGAAATATGTGATCTTCAATACAGTTACGCAACAGAATAAGAATTATTCATGAATTTGAGGTCAGAGGGTAGGGAAACATAGGTTAGACTAATATAATACCTGTTTTTAATCTGTACTTTAAATAAGGGCAGCTGTTTTAAATTTCATGGAGAGACCTTTCTTATTCTTGTTACTTTTTTCCTGAGATAATTTGTTCCACTCACACAGTAGTAAGCTTGATGTCTGAATCTTCCAAGCCTGTGCTCCTGCACTAGTCTTTACTCAGGAGTAAATACAAAACTATATGAAAACAAGCAAGTGAAAAAACAATTATTACAAAATATACATGAGTTACTTTAGTAGGATTTTTTTTTCCATATATCTCTCTCTCAACTATTTCTCCTTTTTCTATATCAGCTAGTGCTAATCTTCTATGAGGGTAGTCAATCAAGGACATCTCTTCACACAGTGACTCTTCTTCACTTGTGTTAATTGGAGAAGAGCCTTGACTCAATTCTGCTCACCTGGATGAGGCAATTTGTTCCACAGAACTCAAAAAGGACTGTCTCAAATGCAGTCTTTGACTCTATACTGAGTGTTGCCTTGCTTTTTATTGGTTTTCGTAGTCAGTGAGCTACAAAGAGCAGCCATCCTCCCTCTGAAGATAAAGTGGATTTACTCAATTTTTTTTATTCATCAGGCATGACTTTCTGAACTTTCCTTGTTTCTGGTGTTTTTAAAAGGGAGGAGAAGAGAAGAAAGAATTCTTCTCTTCATAATCATTAATGTGAGGCCTAGACTTTTTGAAATTTTGAAGTTCCCAGCCACAATTCCTTATTCCCTTTAGTAATTTCTGGTTTTGTGGTTGCTCCAAGTGAACAATTTAGAGAGGGTGTTTTGAAAATGGACATAGTGCTTCCTGACAGAGGAGACATGTTCAGGCAGTGCAGCCAGGACCTCTGGCAGAGCCTATGGGAGATACAACCGAAATTCTTGTTCTTCTGTTTGTAAAAATTTAAACACAACTTCAGCTAGCTTTTTTCATGGAAATTATTTACTTTGGATGAGAACAAAAGCTGTGCAAAAGTATTTGATTCTGAGAAGATATATTTTTTGACTAATTCTGCTCTCACTTATACCTCTTGAAGCACTCAGGAGAAGGGGTTGATTATTTAAAAGCATCATGATCTATAGCTGCTGTAGAGAGAAAAAAAGAAAAAAAAAGACAAAGACACTTTTGGAATTATGTATAGCATTTCAGTAAGAGAAACAGCTTTTTCATCAGTGGATGTGTATGTCATACCAAGTTGGCTTTCCATGACAACTGGCTGCTGTTCTTTCTGCCCAGCCTGCTGGAACATCTCCAGAGCTTGCATTCAGGGCCACCACTGAAATGCCTAGAGTGAGTTTACTTTTAATGGCTCTGCTTCAATCAGGAAGAAATAATTAGAAAATAACAAATTGAAAGGGAGTACCTGCAAATTTTTAGACTTGTTGTATTCAGTAAATATTTCATTAGTAAACTCATGGAAAGGTAAAAAGACAGCAATTAAAAATTTAATTTTTGAAAATGTGTTATATTTTGTACATTACAAAAGTCTTACAATGAAGGAGCAAACCTAATTTTCTGGTTAGCTTTTGCTGGTTTTGAACCGTACTGTCTGGGGCATATGAAACAGAGCACTGAAGCATTTGCATTTCTCCTACTTGATTTCTGTGTCCTCAAAAAAACCCATTGCAGAAGGGACTGCCTTTCCCACCACTGCAAGCGTGGGAGCATCACTTCTGAAGGGATTAGTTTCAGAAAATATCCTTTTATAACAGCCTTAGTAAGAGTAGAGAGCAGTGAATTTGAAATGCCATAGTTGCACATGACCTAACTCACAGCAATTGTACTTACCAGCTTCAGCTGAAGCAGCTTTCAGTTTTCAAAGAAAATGGTGGTCAGTGACCATGCATCTCCTTTGAAATCTTTGCCAGAACATGAGATTTTTTTATAGGTTTTACCGATAAGGAGACTTTGTAGACCCTTCAGCATTCTTCTAAAATCATGAAGCAGAAAAATTGGCAACACTCTCACCCATATTCTTAGCTGCTTCTTAAATCTAAAGGAATTGTGCATGGTGGAAAGCTGTATTTCTGTGCTGGGGTTTTGGTTTTTTTGGTTGGTTTGTTTGGGGGGTTTTGTTTGTTTGTTTGTTGTTTTTTTTTTCAAATAATATTCTTAAACTGTTCTTTCTATTGCAGAGTTTAAGTTTCATTATGAATTTGATAAGAATTTATACAATAAATATTTTAAAGCATTCTGCAATTTAAAAACTACAAGAAGCAACTTGAGATAAATATCACAAAATTATTTCCATGTGCTTTGCAGCAATATTACTGTTTGAATGATGGTTAGGAGTTGAAATGGAGTTCATACACATTTTGTACATTGAAGATATGAGTTAAAAATCACTGAGCATTTGGCTTCTATATTTTGGGAGTATTTTTAATAATCTAGAAGAGTAAAAATGAGATGACATCACTAACAACTAAAATACAAATCCTTGAAACATTTATGGCATACCAGCTGTTGAAGCATCATCATCATCATAATCTTCTGACAAATAACATTCTCTGAAGCTTGATGGATAGCACTCTGATATGCTGTGTCAAATACTTTGCTGACTGAATGATACATCTGAAAAATATTTGAAAGTTGTCTTTCTAAAACCGGACAGATACAAGTCTTGCCTTACTGACCTAGAGAGGTATAAGAGATGTGTAGCTCCCTCAACAAAGAAGGGATAATAGATTTACCAGTTTTGTTTTGTCTTACCTTATTTTGTATCACTTCATATCACCTCTTGTTTTAACATGCTTTTAAGGAACTCCTAAGAGATTAATGCTTGTACCCCTTAGTACTCTTGAGAAAATAAATATGAAATGTAATAAGATGGATTAATTTTTCATTTCACTGCTCGTTGCTTTCCTTTCAGCTTTTTGCCTGATTACATCAGTGGTGATTTTGATTCCATTCAGCCTGAAGTCAAGGAGTTCTACAAGGTCAAGGTAAATTAAATCTCTCTGATGAATTTTTGTGTGATAGAGCATTGTAAGATCCAACCCATTAGTGCCCCCATTGGTCATTAAGTAATTCTGGCTTCGTTGGTTTCTTTAAGGCTGCGGTTGTAAAGCACCTTACAAGCCCAGAGGTTAAGCTTCATGTGGTACTGTACTAATGCTTAAAGTAAACACAGGAGGTGCAGTACTGCCTGTGCAGGGTGACTTTTCATAGCATGAGGTGAGGAAATAGATTGTATGTTGCTAGAGATTACAGTAATGAGAAACTAGGATAAAACTTTCTGAAAAATCTGACTTCTTTTGCATGGTGAGATACAAAGAAATAAAGATTAACTTGTCGTAATTCTCACCTGGCTGGCACCTACGGACATTCTACAGAGAGTTTCTCTGTTTGTTATTTATATGATATGACTTTACGTTTTTTGAGGAAAGCTGCAGATGGAGACATCTGTCTCTTTCCTCATCCACTGAAGCACTGAATTACACCTGTCTACTTCTGCTTCACCAGTGCAGTGCCCTCCTTAATGTGTTATTGGATAAATTCCTGCATATGTTAATTTATTTCCAGTGTAGCCACCATGTTTCCAGTGAGCAACATAAATGTAAACTCACTTTGCTTACCTTTGCAGCAGGCTGCACTTGCAAGAGGAGTGTTTCATCCTAGTTGATTTAGTCTGCTGCTATTCAATGTGTGAAAATGAAATTTGCCTGAAATCTTCCCTAATGGACTTGGGATCAAATGGTTAGAAAAAAAGTTTCAGACTGTGAGGGGTGGGCTGGAGGAGTGTGTGGAGCTGGGTGGGTTTTAGTCCCTCTCTGAACACTGTAGAGTTTTATTTCCATGTTCTACTCCATTTTTTAGAAGGGAGAAGTGTGTGATGGCAGTTCATATTAGGAAAACAGCTCAAGAAAAATGCTTGTGAATCTTTAAATTACAGCTTGGGAAGAGAAAATAAAATAAAAAGTTTGGGGTTAATGCTATTCATTACAGGCTGGAAATTCATGATCTGTTAATGAATACAGAAACCACAAAAACCACTGCTCTGTTTGGTGTGGTCATGGGCAACTAACGGTATCAATACAGGCTGGGGGATGAACAGATCGAGAGCAGCCCTGCTGAGAAGGACTTGGGGGTGCTGGTGGATTGGAAGCTGAACGTGAGCTGGCAATGCAGTCCAGAAAGTCAGTTGTGTCCTGGGCTGCATCAAAAGCAGAGTGGCCAGCAGGTCAAGAGAGGGGATTCTGCCCCTCTATTCCACTCTGGTGAGAGCCCACCTGGAGTGCTGTGTCCAGCTCTGGGGTCCTCATCGACCTGGAAGGACATAGACATGTTGGACCGAATCCAGAGGAGGGTCACCAAGATGATTAGAGGGGTGGAGCCCCTCTCCTATGAGGAAAAGCTGAGAGAATTGGGGTTGTTCAGCCTGAAAAAGAGAAGGCTTCAGGGTGACCTAATTGTGGCCTTCCAAGTACCTGAAGGGAGCCTACGAAAAAGCTGGAGAGGGGCTTTTTACAAGAGCATGTAGTGACAGAACAAGGGAGAATGGCTTCAAAGTGAAAGAGAGTAGATTTAGATTGGGTAAGAGGAAGAAATTCTTTACTGTGAGAATGGTGAAGCACTGGAACAGGCTGCCCAGAGAAGTTGTGGATGCCCCATCTCTGAAGTGTTTAAGGCCAGGCTGGATGGAGCTCTAAACAACCTGCTCTAGTGAAAGGTGTCTCTGCCCATGGCAGAGAGGTTGGAACTGGATGTTCTTTAAGGTCCCTTCCAACCCAAACCATTCTATGATTCTATGATTAATGCTTAAATAAACAGCATGGTGGTAGGTAGGTAAGTCCTACTAAAGAATGCAAGTAAAGGATCATTCAACGGAGAGAGGGAGGAGATGGAAGAGGTGGAAGGTGGAAGAATACAGTAGGGTATGGAAAGGGATAAGCTAAGGTAAATGGATATTACACTTTTTCACAGTTTTTACTTTTCTGGCCATAGCATCCCTTTTGTCAGCTCAGTTGCAACTTACTGTTGATATGCAGGTTGCATCTTCTCTATGAACACATAGTGAACAATTCTGCTTCATACAGAGTTAATACATCTGTGCAAGTGCTGAGCTGATAGCCTGTAACGAAAGCAGTAATTCATCAGGATTGTAAAGGTGTAATGAACAGAATAATCTAATCTACAAAATCCTTGCCTGGGGTCCTCATACAATGCAGTTAGACTTTAGGATTTTAATTCTGTGTGTACATGGAAAGAAAAATAATGGTTTTGCATTTTTTAATTAATTTTCCATGATCAGAAAATTAGAATGGTAGATACAGGTGAGTGTCTAAGGATATCTTGAGCAAAAAATATAATAAAACACAGAATTTGGAGAAAGTTGTATGTTTCTTCTATTGTAAAACATCTTGTTCATTAAAGCACTCTCTGTAGTCCAGACAATTTCCAAAGTCACTGTCTTTTGGAAATGCTGTATGTGTTCATGACCCAAAATGTATTAGGGATACTTAAAACAGGCTGTGATACAACTTCAGGTGAGTAGATCAATGTAGTACTGTTGATGTTAGGGAAGTATGTAGCAGCATGTTGAGAGTTAGGGTAGCTTCTCATACCATCCTTCCTTACCAACAGGCAGATTACACTCAGAGACAAGGTAAGCCACTATCATTAGAGAATTTTACTGTATTGTTTCAAGCATTCTCTTTTATCAATTGTTTTTACTTTTTTATAAAAGCTACCTCTGTGGGCAGAAATTGATACATCATGGCTTTTTTTATCTATCTGACGATAGCATGCCATTGCTAAGAGGAGTTACTTTTTCACAGTAAAGCTTATGGACATTAATTATTGAGTTAGAAAACATAATCATATGCAAGTGTTTTTGTCAAAGACAGACGAGTGTAGTGCTGAGTAAGAAGCAGAAAGTATTAAACTCAGTGTGTGAAGCTAATTATGGTTCTGTGAAGCATTGTCTATAGGCAGTTGTATCATCATCACAAAACTGTAACAACCTGACTCTCCATCACACCAGCTTCATGCCAGGAGGTTGCTCCTGGACTTGGAAGGCTTTATACCTCATTGAAGTGATGAAAGCAAGAGCAGTATATGCCACTACAGGAAACATTATTCCTGAAGTTTTACTAGGGATATCTTTAAGCCACTTCCTCTGGTGTGGCTTGAGCAAGGATTACATGACAAGTGTTTCCACAATCACCATTGTATAGGGGAACCTTATTTAAATAAAGTTCAAAAACATGAAGCAAATAAATTCATTTTATCTCTGTTAGGTGTGGTGTGCCGTATTTAGTTAAGAGATTAAAGGCAAAAGTACTGTGTTGGAAAGTAACTGTGTAATAGACTTACTAGTGGAATGTGTAAGTGATGAGTTGGATATGTTGTCCTTTTGGGAGAGAATAAGTAAGCATGCATCAGAGGTTATTCAGCTTTACTTTTTATTTTCTGTGGTCTTAGTTTTGCCTCATTGACTTGTCAAGGATATGCTTGTAGTCTTTTATTCTTTATATTAAAAGATTAGTGATTATTTCCCCCATTTCTCAGAGTTAAGTAATGTTAAAACTGGATAAAACTGCACCACAACTGGAAATGAAGTGTCATATTTAAAATTTCCTTTTAAAATCATATTACACTATAAATGAAGGATAAAGAATAACAATTCAATATTCTTTATTCTGTGTATTTTCTGTCATTGTTAAAATAGATATTGAGAAGAGGTTTTGTACTTCCATGATAAATACACATGTTCATATGATCCCATAATAGATGCACTGGCAATCTTTCTCTGTACAGTCTGAAGTGCGTTGGAAATGACACTGTACAAAGCAGGGAGGATTTGTGGTGATATTTCTGTCATTGCAGTTTCATCTGTTTCTTGCTTTAGCTGAATGTTTCTATTATTGAAACCTTTCAAACATTACCTTGAAGTTAAGGCAACCATTTGTATTGTTATGCCTCAAACAATGTTCTGTTTCTGAAGTTTTGAGACCAAAGACATTATCTAAAATTATACCAAATCTGTACTTATGCCTAGAAGCAGAAGGTTGAATCCAGTGCCCTTTGAAATCTAGATTATGCTATTTATTAAAAATCCAGTTTGGTTTTTCTGCTAGGTAAACTTCATGTGCTTTGAAAGGCTTCTGTAGACTTAATAGGCTTTTCTTCAGATCTGTAATTAAATGCTGTACACTTATTTACAAATCTAGTTTTTTTCCTATTCTCTTTTCAAGTCCCATAGAGCTGCTTATTTTTGCAGGCAGTTCTGCAGCTATAGCACTTTCTCTTTCCTATTTCCATTTGCAGAGTGTAATGTTTATCAGGGCTGTAGAAATGCTTAATAGGTATGGTATGAGTATTGTCTTTTTGTTCTGTGATGATGCATCTATAATTAGATTTACAAAATGTATTTGTAGCACTGATATATTGCTCGTATGTCTCTCTAATTTCTACACTTTCTTGCTAACCTGCATGTTTTAATGCTGTGTTCCCTGCTTGCTTTCCGAGGCCAAACTTTTTAATAATTTTGTGAAATCCCAATATTAATTGATTTATCTCAGTTATATTATTATAATTTAAGACATACAAAACCATTGAGTTTTTCATGACTATTTTATCTTTTATCCCTGAATGTTAGTTTGTTTTCCTAAAACTAATTTTTAATATAGGTTGGGACTTCAGATATTAAAACATTCAACTCGTTTAGAGCATTCTTGTTACATTGAATAGTTTTCTAAGAAAAATATGGTTCATTTTAGGCCCTGATTCCTTTGTGAGAGGTTTTAAGGTTTCAGAAGGAGCTGCAAAAGTTGTGCAGGTGGATCTGAGACAGTTCAGTCTTGCTATTAGACCGATTACTTCTGCTTGACATTCCCCACTTTAGCTTTCAAGCAGTCCCTTGCTCTGTGTGTCCTGCTTGAAGATACCTTTGACAAGCATAAAAAGTGCTATGCTTACCTCAGTTCAGCTTCTGATGTGT